TTTAATATCTTCCTAATTTTATCATATGGCAAAGACAGTAGAATAACCAAACTGCCAACTAGGAATTTTGAGGCAGATAAAGAACAACAAGAACACTGACTTTGTTCATCACATCGTGGCCCTTTTCAGAAAGAGCTATCTGATTAAAATTTCTCACAGAGCTGAGGCAGACACTAATAATGGAAAAATGTAATTTAATTGGTCAGAATACAACCAATTTATTAGTAAGGTCTAAGGCTCGGTCTTAGGTCTAAGGTTGGGTTATCTGCCATACAGCCCACTGAATATTAAACTAATCAAAGAAATGCAGTCTCTTCCTACTAGAACTGAGAACTTCAGTATTAGACTGAGAAAACAAGCACTGAGAGCCAACCTCATAAACATGAGAAGTCAATGGCTTTGCCTCTAACTCTGCCAAATACACAAATGGCTGTTACAGCAAGTTAAATTGCAACACAGTTTCTTTTTAAGCACATTCATATTCCTTTCCATTCTCCACAGCACTATCCTACTTATTTTGTAGTCTATTTTTTAACAGCAAAAGTCAGAACTCCTTTTAGAAACCAGGTCTTACCTTCACAGAAAACACTGCTCCTCCTTTGGGTGTGAAAGAAGTAAACAGAGCCAGCAAATCCTTAGCCTTCAACCTATCCCAATCCATATTACAAACTGCCAGTCTACTTGTAATCTGAGAGGAAAGAACATAAAATTCATAGGTTAAATTGTTGACTACTGTGGGGAATACACAATTCTCTAGCAGAACTCAGTGGTAAAAATCAAAGTCAGCAATAAACTTTGCTGAAAAATATAAAAGCAACATTGTCATCATGACTTTTTATCACTTAAACTAGCAAAGATGAGAAGCAGCAATTACCATAGCACATAAAAAGGAGATAAATAGTGAAGCACCACAGAAGAGACTGCCCCAATCACAGATTTAGAACTGCAGCAACACCACAATCGCTTAGGATTTTGTTATTGTCAAACACTATTAGTCTCAGGAGCAACCACTATCACTATTGTGATAGCACTAGAGTATTGTGATTTCTTACAGACTGATTGTGCTAGCTGTAAAATCCTATTTCACTGTCTCATGATGCCTTAAAGTGCGAGTTAAATAACTAAATTTTTGAAAAGTGAAAAAAAAATCAGTAATGAACAAAAGCAGTACAATTTAAATTCTGGAATTTCTGAAAGGCTCAATTTTGTTTATCCTTTCACCTGTAGACAGCTTATCCATAGATATAGGTAAGTGTGCTTAGGGGGAGAGGAGACACCAGTGAAAACTGCAAATCTCTCATTGTCAGACAATTTCATCATCACTTCCATTCTGCCACTAAAAGGCTGAAAAACCTTCATGAAAAAAACTTCCACAAACTGTTCCATAGATGATGGTCTATAATGAACTCTTAACATTTCTGAGCTGGTCATGCAGCAACTTTTCACATGCAAAGTCTTGTTACCTCATCTCCACGAGGGGCATCTTTATCCAGCTCTCGCCACGAGTGCTCGATCTCTGGCTCCTTTGGAAACAGCTCATTCAAATCCTCATCATCCTCTGAGCTCGTTTCAATGTTCCCTATGCCTCTTGCTAGATCAGGCCCATTGTCACTTTCTTCATCATCTTCTGAATCACTGTCATCTTCATCCATTTCCTCATCATCTTCTGGCTCCTCTTCCTCACCCGTTTCTCCACCATCTTCTGATTCCTCTTCTTCCGATTCTGCATCCTCACTTGCAGATCTTTCTTCCTCTAACTGGCTTTTACATTTTACACTTTGGTCACAGATGTCTGAGCACACAAAGATAAACATTGGATACATTTTTATGTTAGAATTACACACGACCCTTTGCAAAAAGGAAGACTTCAGGGCTTTTTCATACCTATTTACAGGACTCCTGAAAGGTGTAAAAAATGCAGGAACAAATAACAGAAAACATCAGCTTTGTCTCTTGTTTGTCTGGTCTAATCTAATTTAATTACTCTTTAGGCCCAAAATTGTATTATCAAACTCAACTCTAATTAAATATTCTGCTATTTTATTTATCTTGCAGAACCAACATGTAGAAATCTATTTCATAATACCGACTATACATATACACAAGCAATATAAATAAAGTTTTTCTTCAAGTTACCTGTTCTTTCTAGTCCTCTCTAATATTAATGGTTCAATGCTGCCATATTTACAATTTCAGTCCACAAACTGTAATGTGCCCTCATGGTATCAGTTCATATATCTGCTGTTCAGTTTGATGAACACAGCAATGTACACGCTGTTAGAAATTTTACTTTCATAACTAACCAACAATTTCAGTGCCAACAACTGAAAGGACAGGGATGTTCATAGTCTTACAGAAGAATCAGAACTGATCGTACACAGAGCTGACCAACTCCAATCCTTCAGCAGCACTGAATCTGAGTCAGTCAGCTATTTTAGAACTAGTCTTGCAAAATATCTTCCATGGATAAACAAAAGCATCAACACCCAAATAAACACAGCTGAATTCTCCTTGTTATTTGAACAACTAACCTGATTCTTTTATTTTCCCTCCTAGGGAGTGGTCTTTCCTGGGAGCTTTGACTGACTTAGTAGCACTTGCTTGTGAAGACTTTTCCTTGTTTTGAGTTGAAATGGATCTTCCCCCTGATGAATCTCCTTGCTTGTTTTCCCCTTTGGGTAAAAGGCCCTTGTTTCCCTGAGAGCAACTAACTTCCTCTGCAGGTTTCTGCAAGTCCTCTTTCAAGTTGAACTTAGATTTACTTTTTTGTCCTTCTTTTTTAAGGTCACTTAGTTTAGTCACAGCTTCACATGGTTGGTCCACTCCTTGTGGGGTTTCTTTGCTCTCCTCCTTTGGGAGGCCACCAGCAACGGCCTTTGCAGAATCTGTTTCTCCTTTACCTTTAGCTTTCTTTTTCTTTTTTTTCTTTACCTTGAGTTCTTTACTATCACTTTCTGAAAGATCAGAGTCAGATTCTGACAAGGCATAAAACTTCCTGAGGTTCTCTGTAGAGCTGTAGTTAACAGGGCGACCTCTTTTATCCACTGTGTATCTCAGCTTGAACTTCTTGTCATGGAACATCGCTCGGAATCGCTTGTCAATCTTCACTTTCCGTTCCTTCTCAGGCATCTCCCAAAACCTGGGATCTCTTGCCACACAGCTGAACCTGCCATCGCTCAGTATTTCCTCCTGGGATGACATTTTCGATGCCATTGAAGACTTGGACATCTACAACATGGAAAAAAACCCAAACATTTCAGATTAAAAAAAAAAAACTCAATTCATTAACATAGATTTAGCTATGTAACTGAAAAAAAACAAGGATTAAACAAAGTTGGATTTCTAACCTGTACCTAAAAAGTTCTTTCCAAAAGTACAAATGGCAATTTCATGGCATCACACCCCACCTGGTTGGAAGGGACCTCAAAGATCACCTGGCCCAGGTGATTTTGGCAAAAGCATTGTATACAAAAGCTGGAGCAGCACTATGTCCAGCCAAATCTTGTAAGTGGGAATCCACCACTTCCCTGGGGAGATTCTTCCAGTGGTTGAATGTTTTCATTGAAGAAAATCTTCCTCTTGTATCTAAATGCAATCTCCCCAGGAACAACTTGTACCTATTACCCCTTGTCTTTTGCTTGTGACTTCTTGTAAAAACAGAGTCTCCATCTTTTCTTTAGCTGCCTTTTAAACACTGGAACGTGAGAATAAGGTCTCTCCTGAGTCTTCTTCCCTCAAGGTGGAACTAACCCAGCTCTCTCTGTCTTTCCTCACATAGCAGCTTCACATACTTCTGGGCCTTCTCTGGACCCTCTCCAGCCTGTCCACATCTTTTTTGTACAGCAGGAAGCAAAACTGAACACAGAATTCCAGATGTGACTTGACAAGCACCAAGTGAGACAACGACTGCTTTATCTCTGTCTGGTTGATGGAACCCAGCACCCTGTTGGCTTTGATACAGCAGCAGATTTAACAAGGCACAAATAATCCTGTACCTGCCACAGTCTCAGCCACAAATCTTAGCTTTGTCAGCTGTGCCTGGAGCCCAGAAACCCCCTGTGCTCTGGGCTGTGTCCAAAGCTCCATGGACAGCAGCTGAGGAAGGGAATTCTGCCCCTCTGCTCTGCTCAGGTGAGAGCCCATCTAAAGTGCTGTGTCCATATCTGACATCCCAACACAGGAAGAACATGGAACTGTTGGAACAAGTCCAGAGACCATCAAGATAATTAGAGGAATGGAACTCCTCTTCTATGAAAAAAGACCGAGAGAATTGAAATCGTTCAGCCTGGAAAAGAGAAAGCTTCAAGAAACCTAATTGTGGCCTTTCAGTATCTGAAGGGAGCCTACAAGAAAGATGGAGAAAGACTATTTACAAGGGTCTGGAGTAACAGGACAAAGGGAAATGGCTTTAACCTATTAGAAGGTAGGTTTATATTAGATAGGAGGAAAATATTCTTCCCTGTGAGCGTAGTGAGGTACTGGTACAGGCTGCCCAGAGAAGTTGTGAATGCCTTATCCCTGCAAGAGCTCATATCCAGGCTGGATAGGGTTCTGAGCAACCTGGTCTGGTGGAAGGTGTCCCTGCCCATGGGAGAGGGTTCTGAACGAGACTGTATTTAAGATCCCTTCCAACCCAGGCCATCCTATGATTCTACGATAAGGGATACACCTGATCTGCAAACACATCCCTCCGTGACTCCCCACCAGACCCACGCACGGGACCTTCGACGAGATTAACCCGATGCCCACCGCAGCTGCAGCCCCCGCACCCGCTCCCGCTCCGTCCCCGACCCCAGTGACGGAGGCAACCGCCGGGAAGAGCCCCGAGGCCGCTCCGCTCGCACCGACCGTGCCCGGCGCCCGCCGCTCCTTCACGGCGCTGCCCGCACGCCGCACGCCGCCACGGCACAGCCACTTCCGGCTGCGCTACGGCGGCCGCGGCGGGACACGCCTCCCCGCCCACACTGCGCGTGCGCGGAGGGGCGCCCGAGGCCGAGCCGATGAGGGGCCTGGCCCGGCTCGCGCTAAGGGCGCGATGGTGCCGCCGGCTCTGGGCGCTGCCCGCAAGGGCCGCCGCCGCTTCGCCGCCTCCTCCTCCCACCGGAGCCTCGCCGGGCTCGGGAGCGCTGAACCCCTTCGACCGCCGGCTGAAGCGGAAGCAGAAGAACTGGGCGGCGCTGCAGGCCGAGCCCGCCAAGTGCGATTACCTGCGGGAGGAGGTGCGGGGCCGGGGGCGCTGGCGGGGTCACCTCGAGTGCTGTGGGCAGTTCTGGGCCCCGCAACTCAGGGGCGGTATTGAGAAGGTGGAGGGGGTCCAGGGAAGGGCTGGAGCACAAGGCTTCTGAGGGAACTGGGGTGTTCAGCCTGGAGAAAAGAAGGTTCAGGGGTCGCCTTATCACTCTCTATAACTCCCTGGATGGAGTTGTAGCCAGGTGGGGGTCGGTCTCTTTTCCTAGGCAGCCAGCGACAGGATAAGAGGACATCGTCTTAAGCTCTGCCAGGGGAATTTTAGGTGGACATTAAGAATTTCTTCACAGAAAAAAGCGACCAGACGTTGTAATGGGCTGCTCAGGGAGCTGGCGGAGTCATCGTCTTTGGAGGTGTTTAAGGAACGCCTGCACGTAGCACTTAGTGCCGTGGATTAGTTGACGAGCTGCTGTTTACTAACAGGTCGTACCTGGTGCTTTCAGAGGTCTTTTTCAAGCCTCATTGATCCTACGGTTCTGACCGCCGCCTCTCCCCACAGGTCGGCGGCAGGATCGCGGACCGGGTGTTTGACATCACCAGGTGAGCCCCGCCGTGTCCCGCTGCCTCCCCTCATCCCCCGGGGATGGGGAGAACCGCTGGATGCTGAGCGCCTTTCCCCGAGGTACCACAAAAGGATGCTCGTTGGGCTGATCATTCAATAAGGCCCTTACAGAGTAGCAGGTGAAACTTAATATAGTCTAAAAGTAAAAATATTCTAAGAGTCGGTTATGTTCTGTGTTGCTAATCTTGTCCTTTAGAACGTTTCCTCTCGCTTTGGATGTTGGCTCTGGAAGAGGTTACATAGCTCAGCACTTAACCAAGGTACCGTCTCTTCATACTTAAAAGTGTTTTAAGGAAGTTCATACTTGTCCCTCCCTTTCAAACGGGGCTCTGTTACAACTTGAAACAATCATATGAGTCTTGATGAGGTAAATCTTCCCCTCCCTCTACCTGTGGTTATAGTTCAAAGCTGTGTTTTGTGCAGGCTATTCTAAGTTTATTGCCACTGAAAATTGGACAAATGGCAGTGCAAGGGAAGTTAGCTGTTATGTAATAGTTAACTTTTAGTTTTGCATGGGAATACGTGGGTTTTTTGGTGAATCTATTGGCCACAGTTAGTTGTTAAAGAGAAGTGTCATTATGGAAACTTTGAAGCCATGAACAGTTTACTCTTCATGAATCACACTGTAAGTAAAGGTGCTTCCTTGGCTATTAATCCATGGTTTATATGTAACTAAACTCATGCCTAAAATTACAGAATCTGTCTTCTGTCACCACTTCTGTCTCAGCTATTCTCCCTGCAGATGCAACGTTGGGTGGGGAAAAGTGCTTCTTGCTTTATATAAAGCTTTTATCAAGAGTAAAAAAAAAAATCTAACTTATTGTAAATAGATGTAAGTGGCAAAAAAATTATGTCCATTTATAAAACAACTTACATATTTACTAGACTTTTTAAATTTTATTTCAGGAAACAGTTGAAAAACTTATTCAAGTTGATATCGCAGAGAATGCTTTAGTAAGTAGATTTTTGAATGCTAAAGTGCTTCAATTCTGTAATATAGTAAAATAAAAGAAGTGAGTTTCTGATGAGCTGTTTTTCTTCCAACCCAACATTAGAAAAATGCTGTAGAATCTGAAATCCCAACCGTCAGGGTCGTAGCTGATGAGGAATTCCTTCCTTTCAAAGAAGATACATTTGATCTTGTTGTCAGCAGCTTAAGGTATGTATTAATAATTTATTTTGTTTTGTTCAAGTTATTAATAATGTTCTTTTCAGAGTAGTTTTAAGAAAATAAAACCAACAAAAATTACTAATCCATTAAAAAGAAATTAGAAATGTACTTGCATAGTTAATATGAGCATGCATTAGGAAAAACTGCTGTCCTGGTAATTCTTCCTGTTTTGTTTGTTTAATTTCCTTCAACACACTTGGAGCTTCTCTCACTCCTGCATTTTGAACTAGTCTCCAGGACTTGCATTTTCTCACCAAAAAAAGAAAAAAAAAAAGCATGTAGATAACTGTTCTTGTTTGGTATCAGTTTCCAACAGGTGTTTCAGCATGGTTGCACCTTGAGAACCCACTTTGTGCCTTTGGCTCTTGAAACTTTCTTTGTTAATTAAGTAGTTACTGGCATTCCCTAAATTTGATTTAATCTGAAATTATAAAATGTACTCTTCTGTTATTTCAGTTTACATTGGGTGAATGACCTTCCTAAAGCTTTCAAAGAGGTAAGAAATTGTTTTTTAATACTCTAAGTTAGCACTTACCATTTCTTGCACTGAGACCACTATTTCCAATTCTTCTTTAAATAAGAGGCACACAAATAACTTATGTTGCACACAAGGTTTTTTTTCAATACTTTTGGCAGTTTGAGAAGTACGAGTTGATATTGCTACTAATTTGCTCCCAAAAAATCAATTTTGAATATGAACTGAAGCACCATATTTTTAGAATATTTTGAATTCTCCACAGCTGAGATCATGGAACTAATGTTGCCTGAGGCAGTGCTATTGATTTTTTATTGTTAGCTCTTACTGTTTGTAGTACGTACTTGTAGCACAAGACTTCTCCAGAAGTGCTTTATGGAGCTGGAGTTATTTCTATGTCTCAGTTGTTTATTTTCAAATACAGCTTTGATCAAGGCTTTTTAATTTTGAGATGAAGCAAATACTTGTTGAGGACAGAAATTTATTTTGATTTCACTAACAGTTTTGGTTATTTTGGATTAGTTCAGCTCTTTCTTGCAGGTATAAACTTCAGTCAAATCAAAAACGTGGTGCAAGAACAAGGAACATGTTAACCAGTTTGCTGTTTTTTCATTTATTTCAAATTGGTTATCATTGCACTGCAGTTCTATCACCTATTCTTAGGAATAGGACTACCCTACTGTTACCGAAATAATTAAAATCGATTGAAATGCATTCAGTACTTAAAAAAAAAGGCTGAAAGAAACATGCAATTTTCACTGGAATTTAAGTATTCTATGGAGTCTCAAGTACTTTCTCCCACAGTAAATATAACTGGCACAATGGGGAGGGAACTGGGCTTCTTGGCCAACTTTCATGATTTCCTGTGTTGGTACCACTGCCTTTAAGTAATGGAAACTGTCTAATTTTCTTACTGTCAATTAAAGACTTTTTTACTAGCACAGAAAAGGTTGCTTGATTAATACTTCATTTAAAAAAAATTGAATTTTTATTTTTCAAAAACGTTGAAAATGCTTGCTTTCTTGTTAGCCTGGTTATATAATCAGGCTCTTCTGGATGTTTAAACCAGGGATCGCTTAAAGAAACAAGAAAGCATGAATTTATTGGCCTTCTCACTAGGAAGGGGGCTCGAACTTAGGAGACCAAAAAACTCAAATACCAAGGCTGACAAGCTGCTATGATATTGCTGTTTTGGCAAGTAGTCATAGACATAATAAAAATGGCATTACTCTATTGTCTCAGAAGTACAGAGATCACTCCTGGAAAGAAAAGCCTTCATTTCTCTTAAGCCAGAAAGCAAAAGTAATTAGCATACTTACCTTAATCTACCCTCCTTTTAGAAGTAAATTAATTGAGAATATTGTTTTAGGAGTATTCTGCTGAAAATAGTTTTACCCTCAATTTCCACAGTTTGTTCCATGTTTCCTGACTGTGTAACTTCTAAGGATTTGCTTTTAACAATAGAAAATAGTCTCTGTTCAGCCAGAGTATTCATTTGCAGTGTGACCAGGAGCTGTGTCACAGCTTGCCCTGCAGAGCACAGTCATCATTAAAAGTCTGCCACAGCTTTTACAAAGGTTCCTTTGAGTTGATTGAGATAAAAAGCCTGAGAACCACTTGGGTAGGCTTCCCACAGCAAAGCCTTGCCCTGTTTGTGCCTTGCAGATCCACCAGGTGCTGAAGCCGGACGGGGTGTTCATCGGGGCCATGTTTGGGGGGGACACTCTGTACGAGCTGCGCTGTTCCCTTCAGCTGGCCGAGCTGGAGAGGGAAGGGGGCTTCTCTCCTCATGTGTCACCCTTCACTGCTGTCGCTGATCTGGGACATCTGCTCTCCAGGGCTGGCTTCAACACCCTCACTGTGGTAATTATCATGTAAGAGCCACCAGGCAGAACAATCCAGAACATCAGAGCTGCTAGAATATTGTAGTAATTTTGTCAAGACAGACTGGATTGACACCATCATCAGTTCTTTATTAAAAACTTCTCATGGCTTCTTTCAGTTGACTTGTCTCAGGCAACTCTGGCTCTTTTCCTCATAGGCAGCTCCACACAGCACGGACTCCTTCTCGCCTCTCTACAAGTTTCATTCTACATGACTGTCCCTTACCTGGCCACCTAACCCTGTCTGTCCCTCACACAACATCTTCTTATCTTAATTTGTCCCTTACACAACCACATGTCCTTTCCTCCTCACAGACAGCAGACTCTCAATCACAAGGTCTTACTCAAACTGCAACTAATGTCCACTAACCCCACTCTTTTATAATACCCAAGCTCATTGGGCAGGCACAGATGTTTTCACTGCTCAGTAATCACTATAGCTGTAATTAATCGGGAGAGATTGTGTTCTGTCCTATCCTTCCAACCTATCTTCCCACATAATATGAAAAAATCAGTTTTCTAATGTAGTAGTACGTACTGTGCTTCCTTCTGTGTGTGGTGCACCTCGCTGAACAGGCTGCAGAAATAGCCTGGACTGCCACTGTTTTTGGCTTTGTGGTGATTAATGGAACCAACTGAAGTGTGTCTTTGGCTCGTGGCCCAGCAGAATTTGGATGGATTTCTTGGAGAAATGTCAGAGAATGTTAGACCTGCATGAAAAAATTATAGACGCTTGCTCTTCTTAAACCAAGAAGAAAATAATGGTATTTAAATTAAAATTTCATTGTTTTTGGGCTACTAAGCAAAACATTCTAGAAATGGTAAAATAGTACACACTTCCTAGAACTACATGATTTGAGCAGAAAAGGCAGATGAATAGAATTGTAGAATGGTTTGGGTTGGAAGGCACCTTAAAAATTATCTAGTTCCAACCCTACTGCCATGGGCAGGGAATAGTTTAGTAGTACAGCAAGGTTGAAATATTGCTATTGGTTTAGCTTGATATGCTCTAAAACTGAACTTCTCCATTTTTCTAGGATACTGATGAAATCCAAGTGAACTACCCAGGGTTATTTGAGGTTATGGAAGACTTACAAGGCAAGTATATTCTTTATGGGAACATCAATGTTTTCCATAGCAGTGGATCAGACACAGAAGAGTTTTACTGTGTGTTGCTTAATTCCAAATCATAGAGTCATGTGGGTTGGAAAGAACCTTTAAAAGCTATCTAGTCCAACTCCCTGCAGTGAGCAGGGACATCTTGAACTAGATCAGGTTGCTCAGAGCTCTGTCTGACCTGGTCTTGGGATGTTTCCAGGGGTGGGTCATCCACCACCTCTCTCAGCAATCTGAGCCAGTGTTTCACCATCTTCATCACAAAGAAATTCTTTCTTACAAAAATACAAGTAAGTCTTATTGCAACAAAGGAAGCATTAGTTTTTTTCCTGCTATCTAATGAGTCAGGAGATTATGCCTGTCAGGAGATTTGTGTTGGGAAGCACAAATCAAAGATTTGCTGCTTCGTGGTCTGCTGTGAATGTTCTGTTTCCCTGGGGTTCCCGTTCTGCATGAGCCTGTTGAGTGTTAAGGTGCAGAAAAGCCCTTAAAGGGAGACAGAACCAGTATCCCACACACTGACTTTTCCTGTGAGCCTTTCTAATTACCAGAGCAATCAGCAAACTGCTTTGGAATGAGAATAAATATATCCTTAATTTGGAGTCTGCTGAGGAACAGCAAACAATTGAGTAAGGATTTTGTTAATATTCTGATTGCATTTATCATGGATTGTAAAGCAGTCATTCACATGCAATCTGTTGTTACTGACAGCAACTCAGGACATTTCTTATCTGCATCGACTGCAGTTTGGAGTAGTTCCTTAATGGAAAGGCAACCTCTGCTCTGAGCAGAAACAATAAGAAGCAGTAAGTGATTAGAAAGATTAGAATTGTGGTTATTTTATTTTGTGTTTTGAATTTCTTGGACTAGTAATTTTAATTGTTACCTGTTAAAACAATACGGTCATGTGTCTGAATAAATTCTTTGTACTCAAAATTAGTTATACTTAAAAGAATGAATGTTTGAAGACTCAGGCTGAAGAAGTAATAATTTGAAATGATTCCTAGCAGTGCAAACTGTAAATTGCAAAGCACAGGAGTTGAAAGTTTTGATTCTTACACATAAGAAAGTCACCAAACGATCTGTGCTCTGTGCTCTCCTACAGTGAAGTGCAGAGGATTCTGCACTTTGGTTTAGTAAGAATCTGCCCTTAGTGCATGACACTTAACTCATGGCATGTGCTGTATCTTCTTTTTCTTAAAGCTAAAACATATTTTTAGGTATGGGGGAGAGTAATTGCTCTTGGAATAGAAAACCTCTGCTGCACAGGGAGACAATGCTGGCAGCTGCTGCAATATACCAAGGTCAGTACTTGAGAGGCAATGAGTTAATCTAAAATGACTTTAATAACATCTTTTCTGTGTCTTTTTCTATGACCTTTGTGTAAGAAAAAACAAAGCAAAACCAAAAACCCCAAATACTGCAGAGCAAAACGCCATTATCATAAGCTATTTTTAACCTTAATTATAATGCCAGGATTTGAACTGTATTGATGCACCAGTATGAGATATTTTTATTGTCCCAAATCTTTCACCAGGAGTCATGATGATGAATATGTCATGCTCAGTTGTGATGTTGTGAGAACTGAGTGTTTCCTAGAGCTGATGGTCTGCACCTTTTCTCTCTCCCTTCCTTCCTGCCCTAACAGAAATGTATGGAAACAGCGATGGCTCAGTACCTGCCACGTTTCAGATCTACTACATGATTGGCTGGAAATACCATGAGTCACAGGTAATGTGAAGCTGTTATTTTCTCCTTGAAGGTATATTTCAATAAGTGATGTCTTAAAAGCTGTTTTACAAAGCACCTTAATTTAAAATTATCCCTATATGTATTTTTTTCTTCTTCTTTTTTTTTTCTTTAGGCAAAACCAGCCCAGAGAGGTTCTGCAACAGTTTCATTTGGAGATCTGGCAAAAATAGAAGGACTTCTTAAAAGAGGAAAAAAATAGTTGTTCATCAACAATAATAATTGTCTTGAAACTTCTATAAAAGTTTTAATTGCAGTCAGTCTTCACTTGTCCTTATTTAGTGATAACATCCTGAAATGATAATAAAGTATGCACAGTAGAGGTTTTTGTACTGTGCCACAGCATCATCTGTGTGAAATGGTGATAATTTTTTTGTTTCTAGATAAATATTTGAGCAGTTTGCTCTCTGAAGTCTTTGAGAGAGCAATTCAACTCTTTATTACTATTTTCAAAAATAATGTCTCTTCCAGCATTTCAGTATCACAGGCTGCTCCAGGTATGGTTTACATGTCTTGTGTGTATTTTTAAATTTTTTTCTCAAGGATAGTAGATTATAATAAATAGTAGTGTACTATAAAAGTAAAGAATGATAGCAGGTATATTTGAGACATCCTATAAGATAAACTACCAGCAAATACAAAGATATAAATTATGGTTTTTATGAGTTGTAAAGTATAAGTAAAAAGTTACTGTAAGTATTGTTTGAGATTTGAATAATTAAGTGATACTTTATCTAAATATTGGTTGAAAATTACATTTACACATTACTTTCTACTTTTCTATGTCAGAGGCTAAAGAGAAAGAAGAGTAATTTTCCCTTTAGCTGTGCCATGGAGCTATGACTTTTCCTGTCTATAACTGCATTACTAGAAATGGACATTAATTGTAACTGTGACCTATGATTAATATGAGAGGTTTAGAAAAAATATCTGCCCAAAGATTCTGCTTGATTGTAATGCTCAAAGAGATGGGAGAAACAGAATGGATAAAGATTATACAACCAAATACACAGTTCAGTAAGTTTTATCATAGTATCTGAGTGGTATAGCTGTCCTTGGGGAACTAAAGCCTTTTTAAGTTTATTTCCTAGGCTTTTTTAAGATTAGCCACCAGGTGGAGTTTGACAGAACTTGTGTGTGGCACAAACCCTACCGGCCAGGTAGACAGAAGCCTTGCCATCTGTAAGGTCCTGAACTGGAGGGTTATTCTATCGACCAGGCTTTGACTTTGAATAAGAAATGGGCAGAGAAGGCAGTGCAGCAATATTCTGTCCTGGTTTTGCTCACAAGCGTGACCTGTAAATATTCAAGGCAAATGAGTTCATCTTTTGTTTTCCTAGGAAAGAACAGTAATGCTGCTGGATAAAGGGGGAGAGACTAAATGGTCTGGTAACCTTCAAAACCCTCTAAAAACTGAATCTAATACAAGAGCTTGTTTCTGTGAAATCTTCTTTTTTTTTTAATACTACATCTGTGGAGTTAGTACAAGATACTGCATATCTCTACAGGTCTTCTCTGGCTTAAATAAAACTCCCTTTTTCTGGAGGAATCTCTCGTTTTCCAGATGTAGGTTTCTGTGAAGTTATGTATCAAATTAATGTAACTTTATAAATCATTGCTTTAGTAGGTTAATTTCCAGTCACTTGAACTGGTGGTTGTGACTCAGATGTGTTAAGGGAATGAGGAGGTGGAATGTGCTGGGTAAATGTTAATTGGAGAAGTGCTCCTACTGTGCTCCTTTGAAGTTCTCAAGTTACGGAGAAAAGGAAGGATTTCCAGTTCTTTGATGTCATATTTCATAGATGGCATACATAAATAGTACAGTGTTTTGGTAGTGGGGAAACATGTCTTCTGAACAGGGAGAAAAGATGAGTAGCTTTCCTCCTTGTCCTTGCAGGGGAAAAGGGTGCAGGTATTCCATTAATTTGGAAAAGGGATGGGGAGTGATGGAAGTAAGAAGTGGTAAATACGGCATTGGGGCAGTGTGGGTTGGAATTAGGGAACATGTAACAGGCAGGCAAGGTGTTAATTTCCCTGGCTATGTTTGAATAACTGCCTTTTGTGGGGGTTTTTAACTGCAATTATGAGGGTTTTTTTCTGTAGTACTTCTTGGAATTCTAGTTTACTCCTGGTTTTTACTAGTTGTTTGAATAAATAACTTTGAAAACACTTAGTTTACTATCAACAGATGTTTTTGTCACAAGGCTCTGTTTCATTTTAGTTCTTTTTCAGATTTAAGTCTTTATGGCTTTCTAAAATTGTAGTGGAGAAGAACATGGTTCCCAGTTGCTAGCCTAGTACTTTGTGTATGCTGAGAGTCAACTTCTGCAAAGTGAGTAACTTCTAAAAAGTAGTTGTGAAGGTGACATAATGTGTTTTGTAAGCTTAGTTAATTTAAAAAGCTTTATGCATAATACAGAATATTTTTCTCCTGAATACAGAATGAGAAAAGAATTCAAGGAGATAATTATTTTGATTAATCAAAAGCTAGGAGCCAAAAAATAAAAATAAGTTTAGAAGAAGCGTGGTTGCACTTAATGAAACATGAGTATTTTTATTTTAGAGTTTGAGTCACTGATCAGTGAGTGTGCTTGATCTGGGTTACAAGATCTGTCGATGTAAAGTTTTATTCAAGTCTGTTTAGGATACAGTAATGAGATTCTGTACTTTCAAAATTAAGAATTTGTGAAGTTAAAACATGAGAGAGGATTCTTCATTAGCTCTAATTTATAAAAATGTCTTCAGCAGAAGTACAAAAGGGAACCATACAAAATTAAATGTAACTGTATTTCTTTACATGGTTTAAAAAAGAAAAATACGATTGGCACTCTTTTAATGTTTTTTGGAAAAACTAGGAGCTAACACTGGGCTTTCATTTGCAGGGGGAGAAACACACCAAGCTTTCATGTGGTGTTTAATTGGAATTTCTTGAAGCAAAAACCTGATATCAGGGATTAAATTCATTAGAGCATCCTGTTTAAGAAGCCACATTTTAAAAGGCTAGCATGTATGTTAAACCTCTTAAATTTTCATTTGTCTAACCCAAAGATGTAATATATTCTTTTCAAATACATGATCCATTTTTGCCCAGGTATAGGAGCCATTACTTTGCAGTTATGGTCATGCTTGGATTGCAATCTGTCTGAGTACTGAAGCAAGTGTGACCTGTGTAGATAATGGTTTGATTCCCTGACTATCTTGGGTGCCTTCAGGTGAAAGAAAAGGGAAAGAAAAATAAAAACATGAAATAGGTAAGTTTATCAGAGTGAAGCAGAAGACACTGAAGGAGTGCATTTGCTGCTTGTAAGGGGAAAAACAGCTCATGCCTTACTTAAATCAAGTTAGAATTGAAGTGATTTGTTGATTTATTGATAGCTTGTAATTAACTGTTAGCCCATGAACTATACATGCATGATTAATAGCAGCAATATAACAGATAAATGACTATGAGACCTTTACAAAACCTTAGTAAACACCTTCACATACCCAAACACACTCCTACAGCAACCCCCACAGCCCCCACACATACACACTCAAATTTGCAGGTAAATGGTATCAGAGCAGGTTTTCTCTGCTTTTTTCTTCGTCTTAGAAATGTCAGAGCTTTTTATATTTGATTTTTAAGCTGATTTTTCTTTCTTACCTAAGGTCTCTTGGTAACTGCCTGATTACTATTTCATGTGGCTGATGGTTATCTTCATTTTCAGACAATCACAGCAGATTCTGAGCAAACAACCCTCTTAGTACTGGATGTTTTGTTCACACACATTGCACTTGTATTTCTATCATAGCAGAATATCCTGATACCCAAGATTTTTTGCCACATTGTATTCCATGCAGGTTTCCTCCATTATTTGGAGCTGTGTCTTGATCAAGGTATGTTGTTAAAGGAAGAGACAAGTTCCACAGAAAAAATGTTCCAGTTTGGAGCCTTATTTTGAAGCAGTGAATGATGAATACTGGGGAATTATATTTGGCCTCAAACTGTGATAGGCCAGAATATATATTAAAATTTCCAGGTTTTCTAATAGTTGTGGAATAATGAGATTTCATTATTCACATACAATCTATATAATATATATCAGATATAATTTCTGGTTTCATAGGTGACAAAAGTACAAGGACAGAAATACATTGGATACATTTCAGCAGACTTGCAGTACCAAAGGGGCTGCAAAAGAGCTGGTGAGGGACTTTTCAAGGGTATGTGGGCTGATGGCTTTAAAGTGACAATGGGTGTGTTTAGTTTGAATAATAGGAAGAAATTATTCCCTGTGAGGGTGGTGAGGCCCTTAAACAGATTGCCCAGGGGAGATGTGGATGCCCCATCCCTGCAGAACTGTTCAAGGCCAAGTTGGATGGGGTTTGCAGTAACCTGGTATAGCACAAGGTCTCCCTGCCAGTGGTGAGGGGTTGGAACAAGGCAAGCTTTAACATTTCTTTCAACCCAAGCCATTTTATCATCCTTTGTTAGCCAATTACAACACACAAGAAGTTATTGTTTTACTTGGTACCTGCATTGGTTTAAATGGTTTGAATCTCTAACCTTGAATTTTTTACATCTAAAGTAAAGCACCCTAATATTAAAATATCACTTATTCTGTTGAAATACTAGCCAAAATCAACAATTTACTACGGTAATCCACTGGGTAACAGGTCTAAGAAGTAGTAACTTCAAGGTTTTATTGATACTGGAATCTGTATTCCCTGAGGTTTTTTCCTCCTGAAATTGTTTTCTCTCTAAACTGAGCCACAGATGGTTGTATGTGATGCCCGTTCTTTTTAGCTGTTCTATCATCTTGTCTTCACAAAGTGTGTATTGCTGTAGCATTCAGGTGCCAGAGGCATCAGTTCTTACCAAAAGCTACTTAAGGAATGTTTTGAAGAGTCCCATTTCTTTCTCCACCATCTATTCTATTTTTAGTTTCGTGAAGATCTGTTACTTTATTCCAGTTGTAGAACTATTGATTGCTTTAAATCGGTGCAGAATTTATATTGTTGCAGAACTCTTGGTATTATTTCCTAATGCCAGTTGCTGTAATTAAAATGTAATTAAAAATGTAATTCCCATAAAGTACCACTTCAGATTTGGTGATTATATTCCCAGTCAATTTCTTTCCTGATTCAAAAGCAGGATGCCCAGTCTTGGAGTAATATTGCAGTTCTGAGGCAGCAGCTGTGGTAATGCTTTACTTGGTAAACTAATGCTGAACTTCATATGTAGCTAAGTTCTAAATATAAGCCAGTCATAACTCAGTATCCACTTCACACAGATTTGCATAGCATCTTGTCCAGACCTGACTTTTTGTCTGTCGTTTTTTTTACCTATGATTGTTTCTGAAATTCTAGAAGAAGAGCT